TGGACCACCCCACCTAGAGCGAAGGGTCTGTCCGATGTTCTGCCTCTTCAAGGAAGTTTTTCCTTGCCCCCGTCGCCAAGTGCTTTGAAAAGTGTCCCGGATAACTTCTGTTATGGAATTGGCGCTATTACAAATAAATAAAATTGACTTGAATTGAATGTGTCAGTCAGTGGACTATTTCAGTGAAGAAGAAGTGTCAGCCCTTTAGTGGAGAGTTGCTTCAATACTCTCAGCTCTGTCTGCAGCACATGCAGCGTTAGCAGAGTACACAGCTGAGCAGACTGTGCAGAGTCAAGCGGTGTCTTCATGGTAAGTTGCTGACTAGTTTGTGAAATACATTTCTGTTGAGTTGATAAACAAAGACCCGTCATTTTCCTTTTTCAATATAACTAATAATCCTATCATGTGGTCCGATCCAACAGACGANNTGGCCCGTGTGGTCCAATCCAACACACGAGCTACTGTAGCTCAAACTGCTGAAACAGTTAGTGCTGGTTCTGATAGAAAGGTGTCAGAAGTGCAGAGCAGTTAGTTACATATGGGGGTGCATAACATTCTGACCACCAGGGTGCCCAGGTGGTCGTGGCTGATCAGTGTATATTGAATGGTAAATGGACTGTACTTATATAGCGCCTATCTAGTCCCATCTAGACCACTCAATGCGCTGTACACTACATGCCACAGTCACAAATCCACATTAAATTCACGTTTAATGGTCAGTGTTAAAAAACATCTGCTGGTTTAACTATGCTACTGTTTGGGTGTGTTTTCAGCATTCATACAGGCACACAGGTTTACTCAGAGGCCACCTGTAACACTTGATCTATCTTATAGCTGTGGCAGTATGAAGCTTCCAACCTTCCACTCATTTAGAAATGAGTGAGGTTTTTCATTCTCTAAAGTGGAAGTGATATTACTTCTCCAACTATAGCCCTGTGCATCATAGTGAATACATTTGTTATTATTGAATGTGTTTATGCTCTTTGGTAGATTCAGCTCCAGACACATTTCCTGAGGATTTTAAAAATGGACTCTCCAGACGCATATTTGTGTATATATATATGTTATGTAATGTAAAACGAGAGGCACACAGATTGTGAATTCATTTAAAAGATGAAATAAACGAAATAATTTAATAATTGCTTTTTTTAACATGTGTAAAATCTTTACATTTTCCCTGTGCTTATGTCTAGTTCCCTCTTCCATGTATTAATTTGTTGTAATAATGTGCTTTTGACAAAGGGCTTAGACTAAGGGCAGCTCTGTCATTGTAACTGGACATATTCAATGTTATCACTGCCGGACTTAATAGTGGATTATAAAGATTGTGAACGGTGGAGTGTCATTCCTAAAGTAACACCAGTTTTGCAGATAAGAAAATATACACTTCAAACAGCTATTTTTTTTATGTTTTTCTGGAATTTTGGGTGTCTATTCCCTCCAAGTCAGATACTAGGTTTTTGGAACTATGTCAGCGATTAAAGAACTATTGCAACAGTGGACAATTTAAAACAGAGACATGACAAATAAGTTATTACCAACTTATCCAAAGTTGCACACATCGGCCATTCGGTTGTGCAAGAAGCGACTGTTAAGGTGTTTTTGGAGCACAAAGACAATCGTTGTTTGTACTTCGATCTGGTCGGATCAGAAAGCAGGTTGGAATAAGAGAATCCAGCACCCAGCAGCAGGTCGCTGTCACCTATCTGGGTGGGAAGCTAACAGCTAGCAGCGGCTGTTAGCCTCCTGACAGCCGTCACAAAAACAACTGAAAGCCGAGTTTTATGCACTTCAAAACGAACCTGAACAATGTCCACTGCCGCCTACTTACCCGCCCTGTTTGGACCTCCGTCTTCTGTTCTTCAGTAAGTATAAGACCAACAAAATACCACCTGCTATGGAGGAGTTTTTCGCTGTCACATATTTACTGAAGGCCGCCATGTTTCTGACACAACGACCGGCTTGGTTTGCTCGAGTTTGCTTCAGTTCAACAACGGCATTCTGGGAGTCTCACGCCATTTCTTCTTCTCCATCTTTTTCTTCAGAATAGACCAAGTCTGCCCCTAGTGGACAGATGCAGTACTCTTCAGTTTGACATGAGCTCAATGATGTCCCGTTCCTCCCTGTAAACCGACTGTGAGCTCAATGTCCTGTTATACATACAGCTGCAGTTTCCTGTTAGAATGTAGAAAGACTGCAAGTAATTAGGGACCAGCGACCGCTGGAGGTCACTATTGTATTTGCTAGAATTCTTTTTCTTCTTCTTACCTATTTTTAGCCCCTTCGACTGCAT